AAAAAATGTCAGCATCACTCTCAGAATCAGAGTCGAAAATTTTCGCAGACGCTTTTTTCTGCTCCGATTTCTTTTCAATTTTCGGCACGGAATCAACTTTCTTGACAGCTGGTTTTTTGACTTCCTGAATTTCTGGCTTCTTCTTAACTTCTTGTGGAGCAGATTTCACTTTTTTCAAGTCCGCCGACGGAACAATCGGCTCTGTGACAACTTTTCCTTTGACAGACGATGCTTGCTTTGTGCTTCGGGCTGATGCAAAAATATCGTCGTCGGAATCTGTCGCAGAAGAACTGAATAGGTTCTTCGAAGAAGCTTGCTTTTTCGGTTTCGATGACAAGGTTTTGGTAACCTGTGGCTTCTGTTTCTCTTCTACCCCTGTAGGCTTTTGAAATCTGAAAAAAATCAAGAAATCAATGTTCATTATACACTATACAGTATAAGGAATCAAATTCAACATGGAACAGATTTTAATTTTTTTGTATTAGCGCCAAGCCTTGCTTCTCGATTCATGTTTTGCCTGAATAGCTCACCTGCGCAGAAATAATTAAACAAAACCTGAACCAGTCTGACCTAATCTAACCTGAACTCCAGGAGCAAGCTTTCTTTAGGACAGCAATGTAAAATTGGCGACATTCACACAATGAACGTACAATCTTTCGCCGTTTCGGCCATCTCAAGCTAAGTTTAACTTAGCTTTAACTTCAACAAAAGGCAAGAAAATGACAAGAAAGGATTTTAGTTCGTTTTTTCCTAACCCAAGTCTTGATACTATACTTCACATTATCTCAAAGATTTATTAAAAAAATTAAATTCAGGCTATACACAGGTTAAAAAAACACAGAAAATCAGGATTTCAAGGCTCCCCAGGGTTTAATCGGAAAAAGCCACATTATGTACGCTTGAAAAAATGCATACGTACGTCGGAATTTCCGCGACCGAGTTTTTGACTGCTTTCTCAGACTCGGACTCAGAACTGCTAAATAACCGTTTGACTTCCTTCTTCTTCTCCACGACACCAACTGATTTCTTCACAGATTTCTCCACATTAAAATCACTGGCGGGTTTCGGAACTTCATTAACACTAGTTGTCGTAGCAGATTTCGTCACAGGGGAAGAAGCGCCGGAGGTATTCGAGGAAGACGACGAAGAAGCGGGCAATGGTTTCGATCTTGCTGGAAGTTTTATGCCCATCCCGGCGAAGATATTGACAGCACCAGCTGGAATCTGAATGAATAAAAAAAAAAAAGGACTGATAAACTTGCTATTCAAGTCGAAGACTGGAAAAGAAGCGAATAGGAACCTTCTTTTTCGGCGCTACTCTCGGTTCTTCATCCTTGATCGAGTCTGCGTTGTCCTTAGTATCCATATTCTCAGAAACAGACACTGGCATATTATTTCAAGAAAGAAACGAAAAAAAAAGGCATCAGACAAGTCGCCCAAATGATAATTTCTTTTTCTCCTTTTGGGAATTTCCTCACCAGTTTCTTTTGGATCAGAACGAAACAAAAAATCCTCGTCGTCGTCGTCGAAGAGCGAAGACGCTGCTGGTGAAGCGACGACTGATGCTTTGATAGGCTTGTTGCCAACCGCTGCTGAGGTTTCCTTCACACCGGCGGCTGCCAACACTGACGATTTTTCTTGTTTACCAGATGTTTGTTTGGCAGCAGACGTCGGCTCGCTTCTCGCAGAGGAGAACAAATCGTCGCCGTCGGAGTCGCTGTCGGCAAACAAGTCCTTTGTTCTGGACAATCGATCGCTTTTCGGCTTTTCCGGTGATACGACTAGGATTATACGAAGAGAGGAAAGAAAATGTTCGAATTTTCGTCGACAAATGCGATGAAACATGAACGATCTCGCATCTTCGAATAAATATAAAAATATACTGTACATTCATAAAAAATGGGCCAGAATAAAAAAAGCGTCATTTTTGAATTTTTTTTGTAACTAAATCGCAAAATGAACCCTGAGAAACTCGGAAAATTAATTCAATGACAGTTGAAAATCGATAACTCGTCCCTGTCCGAATTTCATTCGAAAAAAAAAAATAAAACCTCCTCAACTCAAAGGCTATCCTCTCGAAGTTCCATCACTTGAATTTTCTGGAGGCCTTGTGGCTATTATTTCGTTGACACAGGCGAGAGGAAAGCAACAAAAATGCAACGCTGTGTTTTTAAAAGGAAGCGGAAGACTAATTGAGCAAATGAACCCTTGCCTCCAGGTTCAGCATCCTGTCAACTCATTTAAAAAGTCATTTAAAGCCCAGAATATCACCAATTGAGATTTTCTGAAACTATTTTTTTTTTGCCCCTGACAAAAATGTTTGTTTCCTCAACTCAAAACGTCCCCCGCCTGATTTTTTTATGACGTACGGTTTTACAGTTCTAGGCAAATGGGTTTAACCGCGATCCGACGGCTATTGAGAAAAATTAAGTCTGAGATATTAAAACATGATTCTTCCCCTTGAGATTCTGAATATGATCGTTATCTATATTCCAGGAATTTACATCATG